TTCAACTCTCTCGGCCAACACCACCAGTCAAGGGCTTCTCCCTACAACTTGGATTGGAAATGCTTTGATCTGTTCAGTAGAAAAGCATACTCAGCCACTCTACAATTTTGTATCACCAACTACCAGTCCCTCACGGCAAAGTATGATTACATAAACTACTCTAAGCTGAATGACTTTATTGAAAAAATGCCAGAAGCACATCATGGCTCATTCAGGGCCATTATCCAGGAGGGCCAATTAGTGGCAAAGACATTGCTGCAATCTGCCCTTGACATGGTAGCTAGGTCTATCTCTATAACTGAGGTGATGCAACGAGTGTCCTGGCTTCATTTGTAGGGATTCCCAAAAGAGGTGCAATCCACGGTTGAGAACCTTCTGTTTTGAGGGCACGAAGCTCTTTGAGAAAACTGCTGCCTCCCTTTATATCCTGAAGGATTCCAAGGCTACCCTCCGGTTACTGGGTATCTATACACTGGGACAAAAGAGACTATTTAGTCCCCAATCCAAGCATAGACCATGCATGTGTCAGTACCAACCTCAGCTCCACTATAAGCTGCAAATAAAGAAAGGGAAATTCCCTAAACAGAAAACATCTGGCCCACAATCTTCATACCAGCCCTCTACAGCTAAACACCACTTTTGATGGGCAGGTCAAGGCACCATTAGATCACTCCCCCCAACTGACACAGACGATCATTGTTCCACACCCATTTGGCCACTGATTGGCAGTGTTCCGCAGTGCCTGGAAATGCATAACATCAGACCAATGAGACTGTCTGAACTGGGTACTTCATTCAGTTTTACCTCCTGACCCCCTCACAACCTTCTTCCTCATCCCTCTTCAGGGACCCTTCTCCACGAGAGTTTACTATGACACAAGATAGGTCGCTTCCTCCAGCTAAGAGCCATAGAACTAGTACCTCAACATCTATGAGGGAAGGGGTTCTACTCTCGTTATTTCCTAATACCCAAAAGAAAGGGAGGTTGGAGACCCATACTAGACTTCAGAGCTCTCAACAAGATTGTCAAGGCTCAAAAAATTCAAGATGGTCACCTTATTGATGATCATTCCAGCATTGGAACAGATAGACTGGTTTTCAGCCCTCAACCGCTAGGACATCTATTTTCACATCTCGATCTGCCAGCTCACAGACAATTTCTCAGATTCACTCTGGGACATGACCACTACCAGTACAGATTGCTTCCCTTTGGTCTATCATTAGCCCCGAGAGTATTTTCCAAGGTTCTCTCAGTGGTGGCCACTCATTTATGCATTCAAGGGATAATGATTTATCCATACCTGGATGATTGTCTCCTCAGAGCCCGATGTCTCTGGGAAGCTCACCACGTCACTGACACTACGATACATTTGTTTATAGACCTGGGTCTGCAGATCAACACCCAAGATGTCAACCCTCACTCTAGTGCAATATCTGGAATTCATAGGGGCTGACCTTGACATGTTAGAGGCCAAAGCCCTCTTACCTCAACACAGGTTCCTATCCTTATTCTTACTCATAGACACCATTCAAAGCAGTTCACAAATACTGGTCAACCTTTGCCTCCAACTCTTCGGACATATGGCAGGGCACGGTGATGATACCTCATGCCAGGCTTCACATGCAATGCCTCCAAATATGGTTTGGCTCGGTTTACATACCGAACAAGGACAGGTTGTCACTACCCACCAGGATCAAAAACTCCTTAAACTGTTGGAAGGACCCAGCCAATGTTTGCAAAGGGATCCCCTTCTTGAAAACGTCACCAGCATTGCTCCTTGCCACCAAGACATCACTCATAGGTTGGGGCGTTCACCTAAATGACCTCAGGCCACAAGGCAAATGGTCGCCCACGAAGATATCCTTCCACATCAATCTCCTGAAGCTGAGAGTGGTCAGAATGCCTGTACCCATTTCCTTCTAGTGATCACACACACCGATCCTGAGAGACAACGTTGCCTGTATGTACTACATCAATTGGCAGAGGGAAGCCAGATCGGCCTTCCTTTGCGCAGAAGTTATGAGATTATAGATTTGGAAATCTCCCACGACGTTACACTGTCTGCAGCATACCTCCAGGTACACACAACTCGGTAGCGGACAGTATCAGTTGCAAATTCCCACACGACCATGAGTGTGAGATGCACCATATAGAGGTACTTCATGACCTATTCAGATGATGGGGGACACTGTCTACAGATCTGTTCGCCATTCAGCTGAACAAGAAGTGTCCATGCTACTGCTCCAGACCGGGGATGGGATAACACTCCTTAGGTGATGCGCTCCTCCTCCCCGGGACAGGGACCTTTTCTACACCTTCTCTCTATTTCCCTCACTGTCAAAGGTCCTGCTGAAAATAAAAAGGGATGGAGCTCGTGTCATTCTGAGTGCTTCTACTTGGCTGAGACAGATGTGGTACCCTTACCTCTCTCAGCTTGCATCATGTCTGCTGATCTCTCTCACGGCGATTCCGCACCTCCTCTCACAGAGCAAAGGACATACCCTACATCCCAACCTTGGAATTCTCTGCCTCAAAGCATGGCTCCTGTTTTTTTCCCAACACCTAGAAAGCTTCTGTTCAAGAGACATGATGCACTTACCTGCAGAAATGGTCCAGGTTTCAGATTTGGTGCACGTCCCAACAAATCTTCCCAGCATCCGCAATTCTTCTACATATCCTAGACTATGCTTTTAACCCTAAAATGGTACGGACTATCTCTAAGCTCTCTCAGCGTCCACCTAGTGGCTATTAAAGCCTTTCACCAACCTGTAGAGGAGTACTCAGTGCTGTCACACCTAACTACAAAAAGGTTCCTCAGGGGCATAGTAAACTTATTCCCTCAACTTCGGCTTCCTGCCACCAGATGGGACCTGAATCTTGTACTTTAGGAACTGACTAGGCTCCCCTTCGAAACCATGACACCTGTTCACTAATGTACCTATCCTGGTAGTGGCCTTCCTGGTAGTGATTATCTTGACCAGGAGAATAGGAGAGATAGTAGCTCAGATGGCGCAGACTCCCTACATGGTATTCTTCCGGTTAAAGTCAGACTGCATCCAAAATTCATCCTTAAGGTAACCTCCTACTTTCACATCAGTTGATTCACCTTCCAATCTTCTACTCCAAGCCTCACCAAGACAACAGGGAGGCTATATTGTGTACCTGGATGTCAAGAGAGCCCTGGCCTTCTACCTGGCCAGAACAAAGGCCTTCAGGAACTCCCCTAGGCTCTTCCTCTGCACAGCGGAAAGTTCCAAGGGCTCAGCAATATCAGCCCAAAGACTTTCCAAGTGGGTCTCGAACTGTATCAGACTGTTACCAGGTCTGTCATATGATCCCTCTAGATGCCATTCGTACACACTCAACAAGGTCAATCTCCTCATCCGTTGCCTTCTTCAAGGATGTCATTATCTCAGAGATCTGGAGAGCGGCAACATGAGCATCAGTCCACACTTTCGCAGAACACTGTGCCATCGCTGGGGACTCTGCCTTTGAGCTGTCTTCTGTTCCATGGTGCTGTCATCTGTAACAGACTCAACTCTGAAGTCCTGACCTCCAGAAGGGATACTGCTTGGGAACGGCCATAGGGACACTACTGGAAGAAGAAATTACTCACCTTGTGCAATAATGATGATTCTTCGAGACCTGTGTTCCTATGAGTGCTCCACAACCATCCTCCTTTCCTCTAATTCAAAGTTCTTGTTTTGACTCTGCGGTAGAGAAGGAATTGGGGAGGGTTAGCTTGCATGCGCTGGCTAGCCTCATGGCACAGCATGAGAAAAGACAGCACATGTGCGGGGCCCAAAGGACACTGCTACAAAAGTTCTCCCGTCATCAGCACAGGGACGCAAGCATACCTACAGTGGAGCACCCATAGGGGGGAAACATCTTGAAGAACCATTGTTACCTGCACAAGGTTAGTAATTTCTTCTTTGTCCTTTGTTCAGACAATGAAAATAAAATGGGGAAGATGTGTTGTACTGTGTATTCTTGGATGGCATTGTTAGCAGCTTAAAAGTTTTTCATAGTTCTCTTCAGATGCTATGAGTCAACAGCATGCAGTAGGAAGGCATTTTTTTCCTGTATGGATGGTTGTTGGACATTGATGTTCTTGGGTGAACATGAGATGTCATCTTACTTTAATATTAATTTTAATCTTATTTTTTTTCTCTCTTCTTGCACCATGTCGTGGTGGACCTAAAAGTTAAAATCTGTCTGTAGTATATCCAAGGTGAAGTGCTTCAATCACTTCTTTAAATTGCTCATTGTGTGCTACATTAAAGGTGATATTGTCATAAAAATTGCAACTCTTACCAAGTTAAGTCTTTGACTTTTAGTTCCTATGGTGTAATCACCAAACGAACCCCAGAAGTTGTCAAAGGATAAAGATAAGCAGGAACTACTCTTCAGTTAAGCTGCTGTGGAAGCTGGAAGGCCTGTAACAGAGACTTAATTTATCATTAGTGCTAGATTTTGATAACGATGGTACTGAAATGTTTCTTTTGCAGGATCATCATACGCACCAATATTCTGGTCTTCCACTTAGTTGATAGTTTCATTCATTGGTGCATTTTATCTTGAAGATGAATGCAGAGAAACAGACTTTCTGAAACGAGCCTGGATCCTTTCAGTGCTTACCAAAAACAAACTTCAATTTAGTGTGCTTTAGGCAAATGAGATCTTAATATTGCTGTGGAAAGAACATTGCAGTAATGCAGTTCTGCTTGCAGGAATTCTCAATAAAACAAGTTTAAAGGACTTAAAAGTAAACGTACAACTTCAGAACTTCATATTGCTGTGAAATGAGTTTATGTACAGTGTTGACTGGATTATGGATCTCCCATATTTATTTATATATAAAATATTTGATCTTTGTTATATGTAAGCTTCTCTGGGTTACATATCCATTTGGTTGACTTGCACAATAAATTGCAGTCATGTAGCTACTTGATTTTGAATTCACTGTTTTGTGAAGAAAGTTTAAATATTTTTCTTTTTAGCTCCATTTACCTCTCAATTCTCCTTTACCTGGAAGTGAATTGACTAAGGAACCTTTTCGCTGGGATCAGAGACTATTTGCTTTAGTTCTGCGTTTGCCTGGCATCACAACTCCAGAATCAGAGCAGATAGCAGGTGTGCCCGTTGATGACTCAGCAATCACACCTATGTGTGAAGTCACAGGAGGTGAGTGCCTTAACTTCACTTGACAAAGTAGTTCTTTCAGAAAAGTGATTTTAGCATATATCTCAGTTGTATTAGATAGTATTTGAAAATTTCTGACTCCTTTGTTTAATCTCTTTAAAACCCTGGGCACAACGGAGCTACATATTACAGCTCTCTTTAGTACATAAGTACTAAAATTACAAATAAATTCATCTTAATAGTCTTGAAAGGATGTGCATTTGCGTTCTTCAGCAGTTTTGACCAGAAGGGGGAAAACATACTTTGTGTTTTAGGCACTCAGCCAGAAGTCTTAAGAATCATGAAACCTGCTCGATAGTGAGATAGTGTTCAGTTTGCTGACATGCCAGCATTTGAAGGCCATGGAATGTGTTTTCTTTTGAGAACTTATAAATATTTCTTAAATTAAGAATGTTTTTGGACAAATGTCTGCACTTTCCCTTTTCCTCCACTGTGTCTTGTGTTCTCTTGTAATCGCTCATGATTATCTGTCTCGTTTAGATTGTAAACTTCTCTGGTACAGTCCAGAAGTTGTCTTGTCTATAGAGTGCCATGAACACACACCAAGTATTTAAAAAAAAAAAATCCATTTGATAGTAATTGGGGTGGGAGAAGAGGGAGAAAAGGAAAGAATTTAAAGGTGTAAAAGAAACTTCAAGCAGAAGTGATCCCCGACTTCTCAGAATGTAAAGCAGATGCCTCAACCACTGGATTAAACAGGCTTTTTGATTCATTTAAAAGGTGTTGAAGTGTGCCACAAGGGGGAGCTCACATTCCAAGAATGCAATAGACACCTTAAGTTAACAAGGAAATTCTTAAAATGTTAAAGGAAATAAAGTTAAAACAAAGTATGCTTCTTACTTGTTACCAAGATGCATGCAGAACTTCATTAATGAAATCATTTAATAGACTGTCTTGCTGCTTCAATGAAGTGACATGTTTTCTTTGTAACTTGTTTATATATTTCTCCATAACTAGATCAGCAAAAAATCATAAGTCAGCCCTTCTAGTTTCTTGATGAGTAAGAATTAAAAGAGCTAAATGTCAGCAGCTTGACTAAGGGATGACTAAGAGGGGACGTAAATCTAAAAATACTTGCTAGGCATAATCTCCAAAGTAGAAGAAAAAATACATAGTGATACACAGAGGTATAAGTAGGAGTAATAAAATGAAATTATGGAAGGAAAAACATTTACAGATGTATTAGGCTGTGCAGTGGCTACCAAGGGAAGTTATGAACTCGCCAGTGTTTTTTACGTCAAGGTGTGGAATGAATTTTATGTGCATCAATATGGAGGTGATGTGTGGTGGGGGTGGGGCCGAGGGGTTCAGAGTGTGGGAGGGGGCTCAGCGCTGGGGCAGAGGGTTGGGGTGGGGTGGTGGTTCTGGGATGGGGCCAGGGCTGAGAGGATTGGAGTATGGGAGGGGGCTCAGGGCTAGGTCAGAGGTTTGGGGAGTGGGGGAATAGGGGCTCTGGTTGGGGGAGTGGGCTCTGGGATTGGGCAGGGGATGAGGGGAGCTCAGGTTTGCTGGGGCAAAGGGTTGGGTGCAGGGGGTGAGGGCTCTGGGTAGGGGTGAGGGCTCTGTGGTGGGGCCAGGGATGAGGAGTTTGGGGTGCAGGCTGCCCCGGGGCTGCGGTGGGGAGAGAGGACTCCCCCAGCCCTCTCTCGCCGCAGCAGCCTGGGGTTGGGTGAGAGGGGTCTCTCCCTGGCCGCGGCAGTTCTGGCTGGGCTGGGCCTGGCCTGGCCCAGGCCGGGGGAGGGGCTCTTCTCCCTGGCAGCTCTGGCAGACCCGGGGAGGGGCTCCTCTCTTGGCAGCTCCGGCTGGGCCAGGGTAGGGGCACCTTTCCCCACCTGCACGGCCCTTGATAGCCTGCTGCATGGCTGCGCAGCTTACAGGGAACTTAGGATGCCCCCGTGGGAAAACAGACTTAAAATCTAGTGTAGGAGACAATCCTGCATTGATGTGGACTGCATGACCTTATAAGTCTCTTTCCATTGCTATCTTGAGCATTTTAACAGAACATAAAATCATACTAGTTGTGCTATACCTTTTAAAAGGATTCAGTGCAATATTGAATGGTATTAGGGGGCAATACCTCAAGTTCCCCATCAGGATGTAATAGAAGTACTCTTTTGGGGGAGGGGGCGTTGAGACATTGATACAAAGAGCACAGCGCAGGGCGTTATTTGTCATTTGGATCATTTCCTTATATTGACAAACACAATCTATGAAGACCTCTATTCTATACACACAAAACTTGTTACTTTAAGTAATTGTATAGTTTGCTGATACTTTTTTGATTTTTCTAATTACTATGTGGTTGGTTATACAGCAGTTACCAATAAGATATTTGCTAACAATAATCCACTAACATAATATCTGAGGTGCTACACTATTTCCTTATACAGGGTACTTCAGAATGGTACATAACTGCAGCGCCTCAAATACCATAATGTGGTAGATGTTGTCCAACAATGTTGATATATGGTGTTATCAGAATGGCCACTGCTTTATAAACAAAAATACCTGCCTGCATGGCCAATACAATTTTGAGAATGTAATAAACATGCAGTATATTGTCAGTTTTAGAATACTTGTTACATTGGGAAAGGATGATAGATGTCTTAAATTAAATGCATTATAGCTAGACTTCTATTTAAATGGATTAGTCTGAAAAAATTTCAAAGCTGAAGGGAGAAATATAAAGTAGTAGACTTGGTCTTGAGACTTTTTCTTTCATCCTAGGTCGCTCGTATTGTGTGTGTTCTCCAAGAATGCTGAATCAGTGTCTTGAGTCACTGGTTCAAAAAGTGCAAAGTGGAGTAGTAATAAACTTTGAAAAATCTGGACCAGATCCTTCACCAACTGAAGGTATTAGAAAAATTCTACGTACTTTTGTAACCAATTAGATTTGCACTTGGTATTCAAATTTAACAATTGCCAGAAGTGTACATAGTTTAATTTGGAAGAAGCACTACAGTGTTAAACACCATTGTTCCTTTCTAATGTAGTAATATGGCCACATTCTTGAGTGGATTAAATTTCTGTAGCTTTACTCCTTTTTGTTCTAAATATGAATAACTTGCCTACTTCTAGAACATGTTCATGGAAAATACTAGCTTTTTTCTAACCCTGAAATGTTGTATATTAAAAGTTCATTGGTGTCATTCATATTAGATTAATGTGTGTTAAATCTTCATGCACCGGGAAAATATTTGATTTATCTAGTATTTGTGATAAGGAAAGGAAACTTCAATTGAGTTCTGAAAGTACATCACATAATAGAAGAACTGTTTTTTTTCAGACTCTCATTCAGTAAGCATTCAACAGTTATTCAACTCTAAATTAGTTAGCATTCCTCCTGGAAATGCTAAAAATTACTTGGACACTGGTATGTACTATTGTTGTGGTTTCTAATATACTTTTAAGGATATCCATCGTAAGGTGTATGAAAATCCTTGCACACTCCATATAAAGTGTTTAAATAATTTGAAATACTATATAATTAAATATAGAGTTATGGAGGTAATTTTGTTTTTTGTATAGATGGACAGATGGATATAGCTAGGTCTTTTGGACCCCACCCTTGGCACAGCTGTCACAAACTTATCTATGTCAGACCAAACCCTAAAACTGGAGTTCCCATAGGCCACTGGCCTGTTCCAGAATCCTTTTGGCCAGATCAAAATTCTCCAACATTGGTAAGTACTTGAAGTGAGGTGGAAGTGAGGGAGAAATCATTTAACTGCTTCCTGTTCATGGGTTTTAAATCCTGGGCTACCTGGTTCAAATATAAGCACTGTAAAGGAAATTCAGGCTAAAGTCTGAAAGGAAATGCAGCCGACACAGATGTTTCAACTGCTGTGAATAAGATACTGAATGGCAATTAACATACTATGTTCATTGTGGAATAATTGCATAAGAGACATCTGCTTCTTTAAGAAACAAACTGCCTGTAAGACTTTTATTGCTAACATCTGAGCACAATGCTATGAACATAAAAACATCTTACTTAAATGTATCTCTTTGGAGTTTCAACAGAGTTCAAACTGAGAATTTTCCCTTAGGACACAATTTAGAATGCAAACGAAGATCCTAGAACTGATGCAGGTTCATCTCTTTATCTTGTAAACTATCATATTTAACCATCCAAAAGACACTATTGCTTGTGAGGGGTTGGGGGAGGATCTCTATGTAAATATCTCCTAAATTGGGAAAAGGTAAAACTCATGGTGACAGTGTTCTTTCAGTGCAGAAGTGGCAGAGTTGGCCCATATCTCCTGTTTAGTGTAGCAGTGCTTCTAATCTACCACAAATAGTAGAAACTTTACTTCAAATTGTAAAAAGTCTTCACTGGCAATACATTAGTTTCCTTTGTGCTCTATTTAATTACGAATAAAATGATGTACCTGTGCCAATTTGTATTTGTAATGTAGTATAATATAACATTCAACGTTGGTTGAAAATATTACAGTTGAACTGATGTAATTTTGGGCTATTTCCTGCGTTATAAGAGGATCTTCACTGTTAGTCTTTGTGCCCTACATCTGATTTATTAAAGTTTACAAACTTAAATGTGTTCTATGCATTTGGCTTCACAGAACATGAAGTGTTTCAACTGAGTATAGAAAATTGAAGATTAGTGTAGTGTGTGTGGGAGTATTTTATTCTTAAATTTAGTTTTATTTAGTTTGTGTATATTCATTGTCTCATTGTGCCCAGTCCAGTAAGACATACACAGCCTTCTGAGCCGTATGGAAAGCCAGCCTATTCTAAAGAAAAATTAATCTCTTGCAGCTGTTAAAATGAAATAAAATACACCCCCTCCCCCCAACATTGTGCACTTGGGTATTACGGAACTGTTTAGTGGGAGAAGAGCTCCTGCAAATGAACTCCCTGTCTCCGGTGCTCCACAATGGGCATACCCCTGGATCTGTCTGCTTTTCTTCATTCACCTAAGTCTGGGTTTAACACAGTTTTGTGTATTACTGCTCTAGGCCCAGGGTTTCCACACTTTCTAGTAGTGCAGCTCCCTTACAGATATTTTAAAACTTGGTGACTCCCTTCAACCAAATTACCTCCCCCCCCCCTTTTTTTTTAATAAAAATTTACTTACTTGGGACAACAGAGTTCGGATGATTTTGCTACTGTATTGAACTGCACACAGTATGTTTAATTAGATAATCTGATCTAATCTGGGTTTTTAAAACTAAGTTGAAAATATGGATTGCTTGACATGTTTGGACACAGACTAATATTTTAGTGACAAGAATGGATCTGTTAAATAAGTGTTTTACCAATCTCACATAACATATGCATGGTACGTCTTAACCGACTGCCTATCAGGTTCTTTCTTGCTGACGCATGGCCTGGTCAGAACCTCTAGTGTCTGGGGCTTTCCTTTGATTCCTTCAATCTGTAAATTTTTCAAAGTTAGCCTTGGTGCCTTTTGTATATAGTTCCTGATAGTAAATTTTAAATAGCTTTATATTTTTTTAGCAGTTTTGTGGTTAGATTTCCCAACTTGGGGACCTTCTCTATCCCCATACTCCCTTGTGATTATTGGGGAGAACTTGAGACTTCAAACTCTGTGTCCTACCCCCATTCTGTTTTCGTCAGCAACAATGACCAGCTCTGTCTGTAGTGTCTTGGGGAGGCACACGTCGCAGATAGGTGTATTGCCTGCTACTCTTCCCCTAGCCATAGGCATGACATGAGGGAATTCTGACCTAGAAAAGACCTCATGGAGAAGGCCACAAAGCTGGTGTCGGACACAGTCCAAGGCAATCCCCGAACATCAGCCTGAATTGACACAGGGCGCACTTCCTGCCAGAAGATCTGACTGTTGCAGGGCAATCCATACCCACAGATTTCCCCCCTTCAGCATCTTGTCAGGATACAGAACACTTGGACAAGCATAAGAGCACCCTCTAATTCTGCTTCGAAGACGTCCAATGCAACTTTGCCTAAATCAAGCAAATCTGCTTGTTCAATCCCTAAAGACTTCGTACATCCTGAGTCCCAGGGCCATGACTCTAAAGCTCATAAATACATGGCTTTATCAATATTGGACTCCGTACCAATCACACCCTCTCCACTGGTACCATCCAAGCAAAAAGACAGGATCCATTGGTTCCAGCATGATCTGCTTCTACCACTTAAGGAACCATCACTTTATCGCACACTGGCCACACGGAGCCTCCAACCTTGACAGTATAAATGGATTCGACTCCTCGTACTCCAGAGAGATCAGACTTGTACTACACTGGAGGATATCTTTGCTCTTTCTGAGTCTGTTTCCCCCATCATTGGGACCTTCTCTCCTGACTCCACCAGGGGATGTACTTTTGATAGAAGCCTATCTCCTCTTCTATCTGCTAGCGCTGCTTTTCTTTCACCAAAATTGTCGATTCTGCTGTTGGATCCAGACCCTTTTTTTCTCTTCCTCAGCAAAATTCAAACCTCTAGAAGAGCCGTCATCTCCTCCAAGAAACGTTAGCCCAGACAGGGGACCCAGAGCCTTCTGGTTCCAACCTCTGCCTTGACATTTGCCTCAGGACCGTTGGTACCCTATGCCTTTGAGACCCCCACAACTGCCTCCTGAACCAACGTGCTGGCCATACTGGGGAACCTGGGACCTGTGTGTCAGATATAGAGAGCCCATGCATTCTGCCAGGAAATCACCTCACCATTCCCTTCTAAGGGAATAGTCAGAGTCTCCTCCTGAGACCCCATGGAAGAGGAGGAATATGAAACAGGTCCATCTGTAACAACAAAATTGCTGCCTTCATCGCCCAATGAAGCAGTCATCCCGGCATCTCTGTCCCCTTAGAACAATCATAAACAGATTCACACCAAAGAGTGGCAGAAGAACTCCAGATCTCCCTAGAGGAGGCCCAGGACCCTCAATACAAACTCCAAGATATCTTACAAACCACCAGCTCCAGTTGTTAAAGCTATTCTGGAACCCGCTAGAGCAGCGTGGCAGACATCAACCACATACCCTACTACTCCCAAGAGGGCATAGAGGTATTATTCTCTTCAAGCTAAGGGAGCTGAATTTCTTTTTACCCACTCTGCACCAAATGCTCTGGTCATGAGGGCCATGAAGGTCAAGGAGAGATCTAGACAGCAACATTTTAAACCCACTCCTAACAAGGAGGCTAAACATCTAGACCTGTAGGGAAGGAAGGTTTTCACATCTACTAGCCTTCAGTTTTGTAAAGTGAACCATCAAGTTCTATTGGCTAAGTACAGCTATCTAAAATGCACAGATTTTGTAGACCAGCTACTACAGCAGGACAGAGCTCACTTTCGGGCTCTTATAGAAGTGTTTAAGCTGGTGACCTGAACCACACTTCAGTCAGCGATTGATGCAGCAGACATGTCATCTAGATTGATAGTAATAGCTATTGTGATGCATTGAGAGTTATGGTTGCACACTTCAGGATTTCCCAGTGAGGTCCAAATCATTGTGGAAGATTTACCCTCTGAGACCTATTTTTTCAGTGAAGAGACAGATCAGTCCATACATGCTTTAAAGGACTCCAGGGCCACATGCTGCACCCTAGGAACGTATACACCTGCCCCAAAAAGGCAATATCACAGGCAGCCTTTCAAACCTAGACTGGCTCCTCAATAGTTGTATCATCAGTGATCTTATGACCTTCCTTGTAAGAGACACAAGGTACAGAACACTAGTTTCTCTGCACTCCGCATGTCTACGACATCATTTCAATCCCATCCCCCAGTGAAAAGATATTTTTGACAGGAGTTTGAGAGCTGCAAACCATTTATGAGGCTGCCACAAACTTGCTTACCTTGGGACAAGTTTCTAACTATGAGCGACCGAGTAGATCAGGCTATACTTGCTCCTCAAGCTCCAGTTAAAACTTGTCTTTCCCTCCTGAGGCACATGGCTTCATGTACTTATGCTACTCCATTCACCAGACTCCACCTATGTTCCTTTCAGGTCTGGCTCCAGACAGTGTATTCATCAACCAAACACAGCATGAACACCATGATAACAATTCCTTCCAGAGTAATGTCTTCCCTGATCTGGTGGAAGGATCCCTGTCAGGTATGTGTAGATGTCCCCCTCCTGAGAAACCATGATGCACATCAACGTTCTGGAACTCCAGGCAGTCTGAGAAACTTGAGAGGATTTTCTACAGTTCGTCTGGTCCCGCCATGTCTTAATGTCAGATTACATGACAACCATATTTTACCTGTGTGTAGAAGCAGTCATCCTGTGGAATTGGTGTATCAAGAATTGAATCATCATGTTGGCAGCTTATCTTCCATGAATTCAAAATGTGTTGGAAGACATCCTCAGCAGGCATTTTGCCATTGATCGCAAGTGGGAATTGCATGATTCGCTAGTAAACAGCATCTTTGCTCAATGAGGGACCCCCAACCGGGATCTATTTCCTTCTCAAACAAATGAGAGATGTAGCACATACTGCTCCACAGGAGCGCTAGGACTACACTCTCAGGGTAATGCTTTCCTTCTTCCCTAATCAGACTGGCTCAGCTATGCCTTTCCTCCCTAAGCAGTCCTTCCTCGGGTCCTGCAGAAAATTCTTTAGGACATGGCAAGTGTTATCCTTATAATCCCTGATTGGTCCAGACAGTTTTGGTTTCCAAAACTCCTACAACTGTCATCTGATTCTCTGATCACCATCCAATCCTTTCCTGATCTCTTGACGCAGGAGAAGGGCAAGATCAAACATCCCAACCCTGAAGTGCTTTTCTAATCTCTTAGCTTTTGGATGGGAATCAACATTAGAACATTACTGCTCTCAACTTGTACAAATGATCCTTAATAATAGCAGAAAGGTTTCCACTAGGAAATGCTATTCAGCCAAGTGGAAACATTTTTCCATCTGGGTGCATAGAATCATAGAATATCAGGGTTGGAAGGGACCTCAGGAGGTCATCTAGTCCAACCCCCTGCTCAGAGCAGGACCAATCCCCAAATTTTATCCCAGATCCCTAAATGGCCCCTTCAAGGATTGAACTCACAACCCTGGGTTTAGTAGGCTAATGCTCAAACCACTGAGCTATCCCTCCAGAGTCAGTGGATATATCCCTCATTTTGGACTAGCTTTTCTCTCTCAAAACAGCTGGGCTTTCCCAAAGCTCTGTACAAGTTCATCTGGCGGCAGTCAGTGAGTGCCATCCACTATCAGATGGTTGTTCAATTTTCACTCACCTGCTGACTATCACATTCTTAAAGGGACTTATCAGAACTTTTCTGCCAATAAAGGAAACGTGTTCCTCATGGGGACTTGTATCTTGTACTTTCGGCACTCCCGAAGCCTCCCTCTGAACCATTATCTACATGTTACATGTGTCACTTATTAGTGAACGTTGATTTCCTTATGGCCACCACCTCAGCCGGAAGGGTAGGTGAGCTAGGAACCCTAATGGTGGGGTCCACCATATGCTGTATTCCATAAGGACAGTCTCTTTAGAACTATGTCTGAAATTCACTTCTAGAGTAGTTTCGGAGTTTCACATGAACCAATCAATACTTTGTTTTTTCCAAAACTGCATGCGTCTGAAGAAGGGAGACCTCACTCCCTTGATGTGTATGACATGCTCTCGCCTTCTACCTGAAAAGGACAAAACAAAATAGAAAATCACCTAGATAGTTTCTCGCTATAGCAGAACGAGTCTGAGGTCAAGCTATTTCATTGCAGAGGATCTCTGAGGATCGCAGCCTATATCCTGCTTTACCAGTAGTTGCACCTTCCTTTCCCTCATAGGGTGAGGGCTTGTTCTACAAGAGCATAAGCAACTTCAGTGGTATTGCTTCAGGAAGTACCCTTATTTATTTGTGTGGAAATTCTGCGCCAAAAAAATTAAAATTATGCACACAATATTTTAAAATTCTACATGTTTTATTTGTCAAAATAACAATATAATCATGGGAACATAACTAAGGCTATGATTTGATCATGGAGATCGTGGACTGCAGACCTCCATGACTTCAGCCCGCAGCAGCTGGGAGCTTCAGGGTACCCCCACCTCCTGTGGCGGCTGGGAGTTGCGGGGTCCCCCTGCCGCTTGGAGTGGCAGGGGTCCCCTCGCAGCTCCCCAATCCCCACAGGCAGTGGGGGATACCTGGCAGCTCTCCAGCGGGCAGGGGAGGGGTAGGTGGGGCGGGGCCTTGGGGAACGGGTGGGGTAGATCCTGGGTTGATCGTAAATTCAAAACGTGATCTTGCGCGTAAAAAGGTTGGAGACCACTGCTGTAGGACATGTTTTCTAATCCTCTTGCCATTCTCATGGCTATGCTCTGAACCTTCTCCAATTTATCAACATCCTTCTTGTATTGTGGGCACTGGAACTGGACATAGTATTCCAGCAGTGGTTGCACCAGTGCCAGATAACCTCTACTCCTACTCAAGATTCCCCTGTTCATGCATCCCAGGATTTCATTAGCTCTTTTGGCCACTGCATCACACTGGGAGCTCATGTTCAGCTGATTATCCCCCACACTCCATCCCTGTCCCCAAATCTTTCTCATAGTCACTACTTCCCAGGATAGATTTCCCCTGTCCTGTAAGCATGGGCTAGTCTTTGTTCCCAAATGTCTACATTTACATTTAGTTGTATTAAAATTCGTATTGTTTGCTTGTGCCCAGTTTACCAAGTGACCTAGAATGCTCTGAATCAGTGACCTGACCTCTTCATTGTTTACCACTCCCCCAATTTGTGTGTTATCTGCAAACTTTATCAGTAGTGATTTCATTTTCTTCCTAGTCATAAATAAAGACCTTAAATAGAGTAGGATAATTACTCCATTTGCAAATCATTGTCCTTGCCTGACCTGTTGATTTAGCAGTTAAAGTACTTGGCTTTTGCTTTCTAAATATACTTACACTCTATATTAAGATAGTATTTACTACCTACCTAAACCCAACAGCTGTTCAAGGTTCAATAAGATGAAATATTAAGTTAGTGTTCCTATTTCTTTATTTCAGAGACACATTAACAGATACTAAGGTGCAATTTTCCAAAACACTTTTATATTGTTTCAGAATAAGATTTAGTATGGCTAGATCTTGTATTTGTTGGTGCAGACCCACACTTAACAACTGAATGTTTCTGTTTAGCCACCTCGCACATCTCACCCTGTAGTGAAGTTCTCCTGCACTGACTGTGAACCAATGGTCATTGACAAACTACCTTTTGATAAATATGAGTTAGAACCTTCACCGCTGACCCAGTTTATTCTGGAAAGGAAATCTCCTCAGACCTGCTGGCAGGCAAGTTGAATATGTACTAACTAAAGGACATTTATCTGAGAAATAGTATTCTGTAAATAACTTGGAATGAAATTCTAATTACATGTGTTGATTTACTATAAACTTACTGACATCACACCTTTAACTTATAACTCACACTTTAAAACTATGTGTACAACATGAATTACATGAACTCTTCTTATTCCAGGTGTATGTGAGCAATAGTGCAAAATATAGTGAAATTGGCCATCCTTTTGGTTACTTGAAAGCCAGTACAGCACTGAATTGTGTGAACCTGTTTGTGATGCCTTACAATTATCCAGTCCTCCTTCCCCTCTTAGGTAAATACAGCTTTCTCAAATCCTTCTGATGTGGTAGGCGGAAAATTGCTTCAGCCTAGTTATATTTTTTTGTGTTGTTAATGCTGCTGTTAATAATCATAAGCCTATGCAAATCCAAAACATTAAGAATGTAATATTCCTACTGAAAAGAGAACTTCTAATTTTTCTGGTATCTACTATATTCAGATTCACTTAGTAAAAAATTATTACCATTCCTGAATCTGAGTATAATCCTTTTGATTTCTAAAAATGAGTGTTTATTGTTCAGATATTTTACTCCCCTTCTAATATGCTGTGACTGCCACTTTTTCCCTCCTGCTGCTACAAAGCCCTTCTTTTCGTACTCCCATGGATCTGATAATGAGTTAGATTTTATAAATAATAAATTGCAAGATTCTGCCTTCCTTACGCACCTCATGAATTACATCCAATAGTAATTAGCTCTGATTAAGCCCTAGTGTAGTAGGACGAACCTTTAGAAGAAATGTACTTAGAAAATGTGTGGTGAGTGATGCCTTACATTTAGAAATGCACCTCTCATTTAACTTTATCTCTGTTTGTATAACTTCTTAGATGACTTATTCAAAGTACACAAGGCAAAGCCAACCTTAAAATGGCGGCAGTCATTTGAAAGCTATTTGAAGACAATGCCTCCTTACTATCTAGGGGTAAGATGATTTATTGTATGTGTGTTTTAAAATGTCTGCTGTATCCTATAATTTATGGTAAACTTGTATGTTCAGTTATTTGCTTGTTCTGTTAACTGTCTTCTTTTGGATTATATTTTATAAAGCAATTAGGATGTTCTGAACATAATAAAAGGTTAATGTGTACAAATCTAGGATTTCACATTTATGGCATCATGTATGCCCCGGAAGAGTAATTTCCTAAAATTTACATTAATGTCTTGACTTCTCCCTTTGACTGTAATGTTATAAAAACTTGGTCAGGTATAACTACTGCTTGAACTATATCTCCACTAATATTTAATAATTCTGCATTAATGTTGCAATACTTAAAGGAAAAGGATGTTATGTTGCCTTAAAGGGTTACAAATTCACTTTGAAATGAACGCATTAAGCAAGAATGTTCTTTAAATTCTTGCTACAAACTTAAGGATACAAATATACAAGGATATACATATGTAAGTGAATATATATTACTTGTTTCAGCCTTTGAAGAAAGCTGTGAGAATGATGGGAGCGCCTAACCTTATAGCAGATGGTGTGGAATATGGACTTAGTTACAGTGTCATTGCATACCTCAAAAAGTTGAGTCAACAGGTAATGTTGATGCAAAAAAACAGTAAAAAATGAAAACTAAAAATGAAAAACACTTATTCTAGTATCAGACTAACTTGAAAATATCAAGTATCAGGGGGTAGCCGTGTTAGTCTGTATCTACAAAAA